TTAATTCATGATAAGATAAACCAAGAATCTTTATCTTTGATTTAATTCATATTTTTTTTTTGCTCTAAATAAAGAATATTGCTAGATAATTATCTCTGATAAAACAAAGATTGAATAGCTTTTCAAAGAAAATAATAGCATCTATTTGTTTATGTTTTTTTAGTGTCACTGAATTAAATCCGAACCAATTAATTTCTTGATAACCAACCTCATAGAATCAATTATATATATTCAAAAATTAATAGATGCTCACAGAGAATGTCTTAGCCTTAAAGATTATGTAAACTTCAAAAAAATCTTTTAATTTTACTTGACAAACGAATCTATCCAGATGATCAAAAGCTTTTTAAAACAAAACTTATATCATTACATAGAATTCATTGACTAGCAGAGATGAGCACAGGACAAGATTTTCCGTCCTGGCCTGTCCTGTCCTGTCCTTTATTGGCCCCCATCCTGCCGCTCAACAGGACAGGCCAAAATCTTTAGTTTCATCCTGCTCTGGTCACTGCACAGTGTAATCCCATCCTGCCGCTCGACAGGACAGGACAAAAATTTTAGTATCGTCCTGTCCTGCAGGACAGGGCAGGACAGGATACAGGACGATCGCACCGCCCCGTCCTGTGCTCATCTCTGTTGACTAGGATATCATCTGAACAACAACTTATCTTTTGAGGTCATATTTATCAAAAACAGAAGGCTCGGCAAGATTACAAAAGGTTTGAAAGTTTTCTCTGAAGCCGAGTTATGGCTGTTGGAATATTCTCCGTTGTCAACATATTGAAGAATGAGATTAGTAGACCTGTAATCGCCCAAAAAAAGTTATTAGGCAAAAGTAATTCATTATACTAAGTCGAATGGTGATATTTCTTTTTCAGTTCGTTGTGAGATCAACACGAACCGAAAAACAAATTATTATTCTCAGCAGAATGAATTACTTCTGTCTAACTGTTAAACCAAGTGATTATAGGACAATTGGTTGAAATCAGAGATCCTAGGAAAAAGTTTATGAGTGTGGAGAGATCGAAGAAGAAATGGCTTTCGAACACCGTTTTGCATCAATCCAACTAGTGAGGCAATTGCTAATCAATCAAATTTTGATATTTTTAGACGTCGATAATTGTTTATATATTAAAATGAGACGTTATTGATATATAATTTTTGATGAGCCTTTGTCCTGACTTGAGTGGGTAAATGCAAGTTTCTATTTTATATAGTTCTTTTAGATCGTGTTTCACAATTACAAATCGATTGATATATTTTTAATTTTGAAATATAAACTTACTTTTTTCTGACATCATCTTTAGTTGATTTAGGTTTATTAGCAATTGAAATTGTACTAGCTATTGGATCTTTTTCTATATTTCGTTGAGTAGCACTAATATAAAAATCATGTTTTTTTTTGTTCTATATTAAATTTATTACTCTTACCAATTATCTTTCAATTTTATATAAGCTTTATAAAGTTCTTCATATTTTCTTTTTGTTTGATTATGTATTTCTTCACGTTTTCTTATATGAATTAATTGTTGTTCATTATCATGTACACTTTGACGAAGAAGATCACTAATAAGAAAAATAAAATAAAAAATAAAAATTAAAGAAATGTTTTTTGTTGTTTTTTAAATTTTACTCAATATCTTTATTTTCTTTTTTTAATTGTTCTATTTGTTTATCTTTTTTAATTATTTCATCTAAACTTTGTTGAAGTAAATATTGATAATGTCCTATTTGTTGATTAAATTCATTTTCACGTTTTTTTATATATTCATTCCATTGAAATTTTTCATATTCATATAATTTCATATGTTCTTGATATTGATTTTCAAGATGTATTTTTGTATTTGTTAATTGTTCTTTTTCATGTTCTAATTTTGTTATTAATAAAGATGATGTTAATTCATTTGGATCAGATAATTTTATACGTTTATTTGTTTGTATATCATCATTT